GGAATAAGTAGTTCTATAACATGATTACATTCTATGCGTCACAGTAAGTAGTTCTATAACGTGATTACATTCTGTGTATCGGAATAAGTAGTTCTATAACATGATTACATTCTATGCGTCACAGTAAGTAGTTCTATAACGTGATTACATTCTGTGTAACACAATAAGTAGTTCCTAGAAAGTTTTTAAACTTTTTAAAATTAACGTAATTGAGGTTATTATAAAAACGATCAGTATAGTATTCTGTCCTGCGAAGTCTTAAAGAAGCTTTTTTAATGAAAAATTAAAAAGAAATAAGAAGAAACAATACAAATCTGACGTAAAAGCGTTTGATAAACTAGTGACTTTCAGGTTCTTATTTTTGTTTTTAAATGGAACTGTGGTTGATTTATTTTATGCACTCCACAAGTTATGTTAAAATCTAGTGGTTAAAAGCTTTTAGGCATTCAAAACTATACAATTCTGTAATGTCTCGAAACCCATTACTTAACTGTCTCCAAAACATTTTTTATGCGTAAACTTATACATTTCAAGTAAAGTAACAGGACAAGCGCATCTCAAATTGGAATATTGCAATCTGGATATTACGTTACTGCAACTTTTATGAACGCAGCTTAGAAACTATACAACGGGAATCACAAGTTCTAAGAATTTTTAAACCTTTATTTTCCATTAGATCTTGAAGCTGTGGATACCGTATTATAATAATGATTTTTCATTAACACTTAACGGCATAGATGCGTTTCTTTCTACGTTGAGAATAATATATCAAACCCCTAATTTTTGAATCTAAGACTTTATTAAAAACGCATCAGTGTACGCTGGTTCTACAATTATGCTTGATTTTACATTGGAAACATGTAATGTACTAACATTTTTTTATTATTATTTTTACATGTTTTTACCTTTAAAAGAAAGATCGTGGAAGCACCAAAGTTGTGTAAATGTAAAATAAGTTGGCTTACTTCTGTGTCATAAACAGCCTATTACTAACTTAAACATAGTGGATATATAATATAACCCAACAGTCGAGTACGAAAGGACATTAGGCTAATATAATAATACGATGGCAAACAATGATTCAGTATTGTTTGAAGTTAAGCACAAAGTTACACAATGGGCTATCTGTACTCTGCCCACCATGGAACTCGGTTTCTAGCGTTGTAAGTCCACAGACATACCCCTGTGCCACTGAGGGGCACGATTCATTATGTTCTCCCCAAAAATAAATCACTTCATTATACTTATACATTTTTGTTTGCCAACTTATTATTATTATAACCTAATGACCATAGAAATCAGGGATTAACTAGTTGCATTCGTACGTTTTTGAAAGAATTCATTAATTCACAAGAGCTATCTATGATGTCATAATTTATATTAATGACTGACTTTTTTTTTAAATCTGTATAACAATTCATTCTTTTACAACCACCCCCAAAACAAATTCAATAATTCTAAACAAATAGAACATTTAATTACTTAGTACTTTATTAAAGAATGAACATTGAACGGATTATGTTAGTTATTTACTGTTTTGTGTACATCAAGAAAAACCCAAAATGATTCTAGTCTAAGAATTTAAGTGTTACAAAACAACAACAACAAAATGTGACGTGCTTTGTTGCTTTACAAAATAGATCAGTAATTCTGTTTGATCCAAATCAAAATTGATATGATAAAATGTTTTCCATTTTATTCGATGAAATTGCTAATAAGTCGCTAGACTAGTACCGACTACTCGTCAATCTCGATCAGCTACAGTAGAGTTCCTGAAGTCCGCTTGTTTAATCTCGTGTATTTAACTTTTTCTAGGTGTGCCTGACCCAGTGACCAGCTGTGCCGTCTTTAATCACACAGATCACAGTTTCTGTGTTCGGTGCGAACCTGGTTATGATGGTGGCCTCCGACAACATTTTGTTATGGAAGTGCACGATATGGCTTACCAACGGTTACGAGCCAATATGACGGCAGCAGTTTCAATTTTTCTGGCTCGTAATCTTCCATCATCATCAAGCTTTCTTGTGGTGGTGTATGCTGTGAATTCTAAAGGAAGAAGTCAGACCAAGGTTCTTACAGCAAAAACCCTACATAACCCAGAGACTCAACCTCACAATGGTACGTTATTCAACACGTGAAGCCGAACCTTTAGCAATAACTGATATTTTGGTTTGTGCACATCTTGATAAAAAGTTTAGAAAGAAAACGACTTTTATACTCCAGATATATAAAAAAAGATTGTTTTTATCATTTTAACCAACGTTTCGCCAAATTCTTTTATATGTATATATATATATATATATATATATGGAGTATAAGGGGCGTTTTTTTCTAAATGTTTCAGCAAAATCAGTAAATCTCTCCAGTTGCACTAAACATTTTGAAAGAGTTAAACAAATTGTCAATTATTACAAAAAGGTTCGGCTTCATGTGTTGCGTTGTGTATATTAACCTCGAAACGTTGGTTAGAATAATATATGTATATCTGGAGTATAAAAGGCGTTTTTTTCTAAACTTTTTCTCAAAATTTAGTTTAACGTTTTTTACCATTTCATAAGAAAGAAGTATGATCGTCTTTTACTCTGTTGTTTAATAAAAAAAATTTAATTAACCTATTTCAGGGAATATTGCTTTTGTCAAGAGACTCGTACGTTGGGATTAGCTAACAATTCTGAAGCTATGGAAAAATTATACGATGAATGTCAAATGCCATAAAGTGTTTTATATTCAAATTTCCTGTCTCTCATCAATAATCAAAATAATGTGATTATTACATTAACTGGCTATGTTGTTAGGCTAGTTGTTTGTTTGAATATTGTTAAGCACAAAACTACACAGTGGACTAACTGTACTTTCTTCACTACGTGGATCGAAACCCTAATTTTTAGTGTTTTAAACCTGCATACTTGTTGCTGAGCTACTGGGGTAGTATACTTTGCTAGGACAAACGCATGGTATCGGTTTGACGTTTTATGTTTTGTAGTATTAATAATAGCTAAACTATGTGGCTCATTAGATTGTAACCCATTCGTTAAGGCGAGTGACCTATAGTGCTTCATACATGTCGGTAGAGGGCTATAGTGACAAAATGACTTTCACATTAACGAACAGCCGCGGCTCTTGAAATTATTTTAGGCAAGATTAGAGTAAATTAAACTATGATACCTCTTTTTTTTTTCTCTTTTTATTAGGTGTGTTTTTGTGCGCCACCAATACCAAGCGTGGGGCGCGCGTATACCCGCTTCGATTTTATTACTCTACCAGCCTACCCTCAAATTGAAATTCTTTTAGGCAGGATTAGAGTAGATTAACCTACGAGACCTTGGGCGTGGTCAAGTATATCAGTCAAAAAGGTTTGACCTCATGAGTCCAAAAATTGAAATTAGATCTCAAATCGGTCAAGAGATGATGGAGCTTTGAGATAAGAGTTTGTACTTGAAAAAAACAAACAAACTCAGAGCCATTATGCCGCGGCTAAAAGATATGCTTAATTGCAATAGATATGGTGGTTGTGCTGACCAAGGAAGTCACAGTCATTCTCTTTGAACCAATTTCGATCAGTACAAGGTTGTTGAAGACACCTCCTTGTCCATTAAGGTGGATATGCAGCATTTTAGGGGTGGACATACTCGGAACCAACGTTTAGATTCACTCAGGGTGTCATTAGTATCGTTAAAAGAATCAAATGATCCAACCCCTGCCACGAGAACGTTCTACAGATCATTAGGTTACCACCAGCAGCTTGCACAACCGGAAAGACACAGGGAGGTTGAAGTCCTTCATGTGGCTTTCTACACATTTTTACTGTATTCGTATTACGGAAGAAGGTAGATTGCCACTTCAGTGTAGTTATCTCTTCAATAATAGGAAATATTTTTACATGTACATCTTTTTGTTTTTTGGATATTACACTGTACTCTGTTTGGTATGAAGAAGCTTACGTTTGTCGTATTTCTTAGCCATTGTTTGAGTTTAACGAAATCTTTATGACCATCTAAATAAATGAAATGCAGTTTCATGTATTCAAAAAAAAATGCCCCCCAATGGCACAGCGGTATGTCTGCGGACTTACAATGCTAGAAATCGGGTTTCGATACCCGTGGTGGGTAAAGCACAGATAGCCCAATGTGTAGCGTTGTGTTTAACTACAAACAAACAAAGAATTCAAGAAAAAAATGTGAAACTACTTTAAACGATGTGATTCAAATGGACAGTTAAAATCCTATAGACGAGGGATGAAACAACGTCTCTTATTTAGAACGGTTTTGATGAAGACGAAAATTTCTTTAGTGTCCAATTCCTTTGCATTCCATCTTAATGTTGAAGTAATTTATTGAAAAACTGTAATTGAAAAAAGTAACTCAACCTACAAAAACATAAGAGAGAGTTTGTTTGTGTGTAATTAAGCGCAAAGCTATCCGTGCTCTGCCAACCACGGGTATCGAAACCCTGGTTTCTACCGTTGTAAGCCTGCAGTCATACCGCTGTGCCACTGGGGGGGGGGGGCACGAGAGAGAGAAAGTTGATATCTCTTTAGTGTAACAATGGTAGGCAGTGATACAATTCTGGGGAAACAATTTAAGTCAAATGCATTGATGAGAAAATAAATAGAAATCAACAAAAATGAATTCAGGTCACTTCTTTAATACTTTAAACATAATTTCTGATCTGGTATTTACGTAATATTACTGTAAGACTGATGTATTGTGTTATATATGCCAGATAACTTGAATCAAATCTCACAATATAACAACATGTATATAACTATGCTTTCATATAATAAAACGATTTCGAATAGTTTAATACAAACAGAATACACTCCATCTGAATTATTTTGTAAATAATAATATTGTCACTAAATTGAAGATTTTGAAAATCATTTAATAATAGTGTTTTTATCTGTTTGTTTGTTGTTAAGCACAGACTATACAATGGGCTATCTGTGTTGTGTCTACCACAGGTCTTGAAACCCATTTCTTAGCGTATAAGCCTTCAGACATAATTTTGAGCTACTGGGAGTTACTGTTTGTAAATAGCCGTATTTTATAAGTTCTTATTTTATCATAAGAACTGAGGAAAACTATTTATTGTAGGATTTTCTTTCCAGATAAAAGTAATTGGAAACTTACCTTTAGTCCAGTCCTGGTGGTGCTAATATCTGTGGCGGTAGGACTCATCATTATATCTGTAATAATTGTCCTGGTAGTCAAATGTAGGAGAAGAAGAGGTAACTTTTATTTTGATAAGTTTGGTCTCCGATATGAATTAATGTGAAACAATATTTTCTGGTTACGTACTACATAAACTAACGACGCATTCCGTTACATTTGGCTCGTACATTAGTTTTCTGCATTTGCCTTTTTCTTTCTCGGAAGTGCCTCATTAAGTCTTGCATGTTTTTTTTTTGTTTTTTTCAGTAGTGCTAAGAAGTAGAAAAATATTATGTTAAGAAATGGGTTGAACTTGTAAGAGATTTGAAGATAATAATAAATGTAATGCATCAACCCTTTGTGTGGCAGGGAAAAACTATCGTATGTTTGATATGATACATTTTTCTAAATATATTTATTAAGTAGCTAAGGGGTACTAGATAAACATTATAATATATAAATTTTACTACAGCAGTGTATACTATTTCTTGATAGAAGTTTAGATCATTAGAAATGAATATATTATAGAACATCTGCTCATATTTATTCAATTATTTGGGGTATTTTGAAGTGACTGACTCTGATATTTTCTTATAGCCTGTTGAATGGAATAAAATGATATCACTTAATATTAAGCTAATCATCCAGTACATAGTTGTATCTTAATCTTATAAACGATTGGTGCGATTTTTACCATACATACCATGTGTTACCCAACAGTGTATGAACATTTTGCGTTTTGTCGATATTAACATTTTTGAAAATCTGTACTATCTTAAACTACGGTTCACAGAAAATAATAAAATTCTCGTTTAGATAATATCTAAATTATTTATACCATTCCCTGTTGTAATTATGAAGGGCACACAGTCGTGAAGTTGAATTGAAACTATTAGAATAAGAATTTTAAACCATCAACAAATTGTATTGTAAAATTTATAATTCTATAACAGCGGTACACTGTGAATTTGTTGATCATTTAATTGAGTAGAATAGATTGTAAGATTTTATAATATTTTACTTTTCATTAAGAGATTGGTATGTTTTTAAAACTAATATATATACATATAACAGAGTTGTGTTTTTTGCCATCATATATATATATATATATATCAGCTGAACTTTTCCTTAGTAGGTAGTGATTTAATGTGTGTTTTATGTGCCTAAAGCTTATGTAAGATAATCTTTCGTTTCGAATTTGGCACGTAAACTTTTAAAGATCTGTACTCTAAGAAAAACATGAAAAAGCGCTTGCAGTTTAACATACTGGCTAGCCAATTTATTGGGACTTACGTAGTCTTTCAGATTTGAGCCTGATCAGATCTACAGCTGCAAAGTAGACTGATCACATGATGTGTCAGATGACTCCTGTAGCACTATACATTATTGGAACAGGCACATTTGCAGTCATTGAAGCAGATATGGGGAAAGTCAAAGGAATTATAGTATTAAAAAGAGGCATGATAATGGGTGCACATATAGTAGGTGTCACATTAGCCAAGACAGTTTCGTTGGTAGGCTGCTCCAAAACATTGGTTATCCGAGTTTACCAGCATTACCAAAAGGTGAATAAAATGCGAGGGTGATTTTGACCGCAAACACTTAGCAATGGAAAAAGGAGAAAGGCAGTTGGACAGGATGGTAAGGCTCAACGGTCATCAAACAATACATCAATTGACAGATACATTCAATGTAGAGCAATCCACACCCATCTCTACCCGTTCCTTTCAAAGAACATTGCACCAAAAGACTATGCCAGTAGAAGATTATTGCATAAACCACTGGACTCAATTACCAACAAGAAAAATGTCTTCTTGTGTGGTACTAACTGTCCTAGACCTCTGGTGGTGAAGTCATAGTTTAAGACGTGTATACCTTAAGCCATTTGAACCCATTAGAAAGCAGAATAAACACCACAGCTTACTTAAGTATAATTCCTGATCAAGCACATTCGGTAATGCTTCATGGGTACCCTGATGGGGAGGACTATTTCAGAGAAGACATTGCTCCCATTTACCATGCCCAAATTGTGCGAGCATGGTTGAGAAGCAAGACAGGGTTCTTCTATGGCAACCACAATCTATGGCAACTTTGAAATATGCATTTCACATCAAGATTTTCTTCCTCCTTCGCTCCATAAATCGCATACAATATCAATGACTAAATTGGAAAAAACCCTTTTCAGCAAGTTGAACCATGGCAGTTTTTGGGCAAAAATACGGACTAACCAGTTATTATTTGTAGGTCCGAATAAAGTGGCTAGCCAGTGTACGTCTTGCGTTGTGAATAAAAAAAAAAAGTTTTAGCTAGTGTATTTTAATCCACGCGTTATGAATAGGACATTTTAACCCAAACTTTACGAAGATATAAAATACGTTTCAAGTAGCTTTTGTACTATACAACAAATGTATAGTTGTCATATAAACGGCCGCATTTCACAAATAACTCATTTCTTCATTTTATCCAAAGTTAATAACCTACCAAAATGAACTTGCGAAGTAACTATTTATGTTTTAGTATTAACCTCCCTAAAACTTTACTAACTGTACAGTTGCGTGCATTTATGTGCTGAAAATTTCAAGAACGTGCTTTTTTGATTTTACTCTTAGTAAATTACAATAATTGAGATAACATGTCTACAAACCTACCCATTTTAAAATCGATTCTTAATGAGACCATGATCTAACTGCATCAGCCAACTTTATACGACATTTGTATACCTTTGGGTATTTATGTTGTTTTAATGTAAACTAGATGGTTCAAAACCCTCGTGAAACTGACTAGGTGACTATTAGTGAATTTACAGAGTGATTATAAAGAAAACCTCGTACTTGAAGAGATCATATCTTTACAAAATATTTGTAACTGGGAATTCTGAGAATCGCAAGTTTTATTTGGAAATATTTGGACATGGTACAGTGTGTTTTTCGTCAGTATCAATCAGCATAAGAAGCCTATTCCTGAATGAAGTTACTGCAAGCACCGTTTGTTCTTAGAGTGTCTATTGATCCTTGACATATCCTACACACTGACACGCACTTTATTGAAATCAACAACCTCGTATTGTTAAAAAAAAAGGTAAACAAAATAAGGTTCCTTCAGGGGAAAATCAATTTAGGAATGCAATGTAATATGCTTTTAGAATACTGTTTGCTAAATGTAGTCTTTATTGAATAAAACTTACGATTGTCGATGTGTTTCTTGTGAAACTGTGTTCCTCTAAAAGAAGAAGTTTTAATAAAGGTATAATCGTTTCATATACTGAGTTTTCTTCATGATCACCATGTATATTGTTTAAAGGTAATAAAATAAATTAAATAAAAGCTATTTAGGAACGCAGTATAATATGGTTTTAGAATACACCTTGCCATGTCTAGTCTTTCTTGAATAAAACTTAAGAATGTCGATGTGCTTTTGGGGAATTATTTTTCCTCTACGACATGGGCATTTTAAGGTATAATCAATTTTAAATATTGGAGTTTCTTCACAATCATCCCGCATGCTATATAACATACTGTTTGAAACTAACACGATGCGTATGTTACTCGTTGTTCCATGTTAAAGAAACTTGCTAAAATATTCATATATCTTGGAAATAAGCTTATTTCAAAGAGTGTTTAGAAGTAAAATTCAAACACTTCATTAACAGATGAATTGGTAGGATATTGCATTCCAGGAAGTTTTGTTTACTTTACTAATGAATTTTTAGTGCACATCTGACGAAACTTATTGTTTCATTATATCACAGAACGTTCTTCCTCTCTGCCTTTCATTAATCTATATTGCTGGCTGTGTTTATAATCCATTTTGTTGATTTTGACCGTCTGGTCACGTGTGTTGATGTGAACACTGGCAGGTTTGCATGGCGTGATGTGAACACGTAGCTGTTCTGGCCAGAAAAGTCATTACAGCAGAAATGGGAAAAACTCTGCCGACAGTGTAATGTTAGCGAGTGCTTAAGCCAGTCATCAGTACTGAATAATACGTCATCAAACTGACAGTGATTCTACATAGTGGTGAGCGTTTTGAAAGTGGTCCGAGACAATAGAGAGTATTGTCATTATACCTGTTCGTTAAAGTGTGAAAAATAACACGGCAATTGACCATTCAAATAAGATGAAACGTACTGCATTTGTCAAACCGTTTTAAATGATTATTGATTGTACTGAACTTGTCTAAAGAAAAAAATAATTTCTACGAACTATCGAGTATCTTGTGATAGGACTTGCTAAGAAAAGAAGACTTTTATAACCATTTTCGTTGATACGCAAGAAAACTATATACTACGATCTAATTATTCAGCAACCGCACATAACGATAGAAAGCATATCAAATTCTTAATTTCATACTGAATTAATTTCATAAAACAATAAGCTAAAATTATCATTATTCATCATCATGAAATCAGCATAGTATTTAATAAAGTATTCAACACTTTGATATGCATTAGATAAAATCTAAACCGGTATAGGTATGATTATTCGATACAGTGATCATTAAGTCTAATACCGTATCTAAAGGTATTGTATGTGGATGCTAAACATGGTAATTAAATGAATGTGTTTATTTTTGAGAAACCAGCGATGAATAATAAATAATTATATGTGCAAACTCTACAGCAAACCGTTAATAAGCAACACTAATATAAATATATGTATGTATATATATATGTATGTGCTAAAAATCCAACTCCCTGCCACAAAGTATTAACGCTGATACGTTCTAAAACTACATTCAGATACCGATTCATGTACAGGTTTAAGTGGCATGCCATTCGTTTCTGCTCATGCTGCTGACTTATCGTTTCAATTAAAGCAGTATGAAAATCATTTAACTGCGGTTTTAGTTTTAATTCCACGTGATTAAAAACTAGTTCTCCGTTGCTGAGCAAATTCAGACTATGCGACTTGATTCCAGAACGATCATGTCACTTTTAATGTAAATTGAATAAAGAGGCTTGAAACTCAAGTCATGCTGACAGCTATATGTAAATGTTCATTGTCAGTTAACAACATCGAAACATGTGAATAATTTAGCTATTTACACACTTTGAAAAATAGTTTTACTGACAACTTTT